AAATGTGAGGAAAAGGTATTAATTGATTTTCCATTGAAGGTAGAAGGTCTTAGGAGTTATAATATTGTTAATAATTGTAAAGAGGATCCTAAGAAAGAAAAATTATTGAAAGAAAGAGTGTTCCAAATAAGAAATAGAAATGAATGTATACAAAAAAGTTTGAGAGTAGAGCATATGAATGATGAGGAGAATGAATCAATTAGGAAATTGATTTCGGAATATAGCGATTTATTTATTTTAGAAGGAGAAAAACTAAGTTTCACTGACACGTTAACTTGTGACATAAGAACACAAGAAGGAGTAAAACCTATCTATACAAAAACATATAGATATCCAAAAGTACATGAAGAGGAAGTGAAAAACCAGGTGAAGAAATTATTAGAAAACGATGTTATACAGAATTCTAAGTCGCCTTGGAATTCACCTGTGTGGATGGTTCCAAAAAAGAAAGATGCTTCAGGAACAACAAAGTGGCGAATGGTAGTTGATTTTAGAAAATTAAATGAAATGACGGTGGCGGATACATATCCAATACCAAATATCAATGAGATTTTAGATCAACTAGGAACATCCAAATACTTTACAACTCTAGATCTAACAAATGGATTCCATCAAATTAAAATGACAGAAAAGGATATCGAGAAAACAGCATTTACTACCCCATATGGGCATTATGAATTTAAAAGGATGCCATTTGGATTAAAAAATGCACCTAGCATTTTTCAGAGAATGATGGATATCATTCTGATGGGATTAAAAGGAATAAAATGTTTTGTATACATGGATGATATTGTGGTATATGGCAAGAGTTTAAAAGACCATAATGAAAAATTAAGAGATGTTTTGAAACAATTAAGGAGAGCCAACCTGAAACTACAGGCAGACAAATGTGAATTTCTAAGGAAAGAAGTCGCATATTTGGGTCATGTTATTGGAGAACGAGGTGTTAAACCTAATCCAGATAAGATATCGGCAATAGTGAAATTGTCTCCTCCAAAGAGTGTTAAAGAAACACAGTCGTTCATGGGAGTGATCAACTATTATAGAAGATTTATTAAAGGTTTTAGCCAAATAGCAGCACCTATTAATAAACTTCTTAGGAAAGAAGTTGAATTTTATTGGGGGGAGGAGCAGGACAAAGCATTTAGAAAATTGAAGGATAGTTTAGCTAGTGTAGTGACCTTGCAATTTCCAGATTTTGAAAAGAAATTTATAGTTACAACAGATGCTTTGAACGAAGGTCTGGGAGCAGTTCTATCGCAGGAAACTGGTAACAAAGATATGCCGATTCAGTTTATTAGTAGGAGTTTGAATAGTGCTGAGAGAAATTATAGCACTACAGAAAAAGAATGTTTAGCCATTGTTTGGGCTGTAAAGGTATTTAGACCTTATTTATATGGGAAGAAATTTTTGATAAGAACAGACCATAAGCCATTGAAATGGTTGTTCAATGTAAAGGACCCTGGATCAAGATTGGTACGATGGAGACTTAAATTAGAAGAGTATATCTATGATATTGAATATAAGAAAGGAGTTGAAAATATAGTAGCAGATCATTTGAGTAGAAATGTCTTAGCAGTAACAAGAAAAGAAAAGAAAAAGAAATGTTGTAGTTGCTGTAGTGAACAGAACAAACAAGAAGGTAAAAAACCGCAAAGTGCTCAAGAGGAAATTGAATTTGAAAATAATGAAAATAAATTGGTTAAAGTAAACTCGAAAAATAGTATTGAGGAAAATGTTCAGGAAAGAGGGAAAGTTATCGAGATAACAGATTTTCTGAAAATGAAAGAAATAATTAAGGAGTATCATGACAGCATTATAGGTGGTCATGTGGGACAAAAAGCAACGATTACGAAAATTAGAGAGAAATATACGTGGAAAAATTTAAATGATATGGTTGCAGATTATGTAAGAGCTTGTAAAAAATGCCAATTAGGTAAAATTGATAGACATCCTACTAGAATGCCTATGCAACTGGTTTCCAATGCTACTTGTGCACTTGAACAAATTAATTTGGATTTAACTGGTCCTTATCCAGTATCCGAATCTGGAAATTTGTACGCATTAAGTATACAAGACAGTCTTTCAAAATATGTGCGTTTCACACCACTTAAAGATAAAAGTGCCGAAACGGTTGCTCAAGCTTTTGTAAACGAATGGATTACCTATTTTGGTGTTCCAAAAATAATATTAACGGATAATGGTACAGAGTTTTGTAATGAGCTAATGAAAGATTTAGCTAAAATCTTCAAGATTAAACATATTACTACTAGTGTGGCTCACCCACAAGCAAATGGATCTATAGAAAGAGTACATGGAAGGTTAAAGGAATATTTGAATACAGTTGATTTTGAGAAATCAAACTGGGATGAAGCTATGAAGTTTGCAGGTTTATGCTATAACACAACAACTCATTCCTCTACGGGGTTTTCACCACATGAAATAATTTTTGGAAGGAAAGGAAATAGACCAAGTGGAATTGACGTCTTAGATTTAGTAACTATAGGGGGATACGTGAATAATATTAAACATATGATAGAGAACATTGAAATGGAAGTAAAAAGGAGTACAACAGTTTCAAAAGAAAAATCTAAATTAGTATATGATAAAAAAGCAACAGATACACCATATTATGAAGTAGGTCAAAAAATATTAGTTAGAAATTTAACAAAAAATAAAAAGTTAGAAAACACTTTTACTGGTCCATATACTATAATAAAGGTTACAGAAACAAATGTTTTTATACGAACAAATCAAAGAACAAGAAAATTTTCAAAGAATTTGGTTAAAAGATATGTTGAGAACTAATTTTCCTTGTTATTGTTTAGCTTAATTGTGGCAGTATTTGAGGAAAATAAGCAATTA